GCAATTATTCAGAAAGTGGAACTGCAGACTTCGGGTGGAGCATTGATTCCAGAATGGAAAGTGGTGTCCACAGAGAATAGGGGACAACAGGGATACAGCAGGACTCATCAGAACAGTCCAACTACAGACTCTTCAGATACCCATCATTGATGAGTACAAATATACAATGTGGTCCATGGGATATTTTAAAGTATGGAATAATATATGCAGTCATTTGGCCGTGAGTTAGTCAACCTTCTGTTACTCAAAGAAATCCCTGACACAATCAACTTACTTGGAGGAATGTGTAATATAGACTCTAGATTGTAGAGATTTTTCTAGTTTTCTGAGCTCATTCCTTTGGGCCTAAATGGAGGCAACCTGTGGTATAGAGAGCTTTTTTAGGAGGAAGCTGCCCTCCTTGGAGGCACTAGGAAACACTGAGTGAGAGCAAGGGGCTGGTCCACTGCCATCCAGTGGTCCTGTGCTGGGGAACTAAGCTTTCAATGCACAGAATGGGGAACTTGCTAGGAGAGCTTAGATTACAGATCAAGGAACCTGTCTGTGTACATGTTTTCAAGGCAAGCACTGCATTGACTTATCTGCCCACTGAGTTCTTCTCCCAGGTCACCAGGCATGCACATATTATACAGACACACAGACAGGCTGAACATCTGCACATATAAACTAAAAATAAACTGAAAAATTATCAAAACCGAGTAAAAGTACACAATGTTCTCCACATCCCTGTGCTCAGAGCACCCTGTTTCCTGCCTCCCGTCAGGAATATGGGTAGAAAGGGTGTAGGTTAATGAAAGGTAACTTTGTTCTCCATAGTATCCCAGGTGATCACTTCTTACATTAGTGTTATGTGGGAAACTAAGTGTGGGTGGAATGTAGTGTGCTTGTATGTGTGTATCCATATACATGTGTGGGCTAGAGAGAGAGAGAGAGAGAGAGAGAGAGAGAGAGAGAGAGAGAGAGAGAGGAGAGAGAGAATGCATGTTTATGTACATGGTTAGGACAACCTCCCCTAAAAACACAATCTTCTAATGAACAGGAACATCAAAGACTTGAGGAAGATCTTCAGTCCCTGATGAAGCAGAAGGAGCTGCTCACCCGGCAAAGGGACTTGGCAGTAAAGCTGCAGCATCACTTCACTGTGTCCCAGATGAGGTAGGAGCCCAGGCTTCCAGAAGCAGGTGGATCCAAGTGGGTCCACTGTACCTGGATCTCTGTACTCTTTGAGTTTTGTCAATTGGCAAAGCTGTCAGCCACGGGCAGGGAAAGAAACCCTCAGAGTGTCGTTGCTGGCTCAGTCAACAGGAATTATGACCAGGAAACAATTGCTTCCCCTCGGTCTCATGGGGTCTGTGTCCCCTTCTTCCTTTCTGAGAACTCTTGTATGCTCTAGTATCTCATCTCTTAGATTAGATCTCCCCGCAAATATTCCCATGGCAGCCAGAAACGTGGAAAGGAGGATCATTGATCATGAAGGAAAGTGTGTCCCCTGCATCTTTTCCATCAGGAACTTCACGTTTAGAGAGAAGTGTCCACCTTTTGCAAATCTGCAAAAAGCACACTCCTGCTGATTGCAGGCTCTCTGCAGTGTTTATCAGTTTCTCATGAGAAGATTTACTTTTGGTCATAAACAGAGTAGGAGCTGACAAGTTAA